TGTCGATTTGCACCAGTTGACTAACTGCTCTCATCCATGCATTCCTGATTTATGAGTTGTGCATCGCATATGCGACCAGAGAGCGCTAACCCCCATCCAGGTGATATTTATGTTTTTTTTTTGCAAACCGATCAGTAACCCTCTCGATATTTTCCTGTACGGCCTTAGCCAGTCCTTAAACGCCGGGTCCTCTAACCACTTATGTGCAAATTTGCACTTACCCATGATGACTATGATTTAGCTTTTCTGAGTGTAAGCAGCCAACACGTACTTCAGCGTGCAAACTGTTTAAGATGTCGCTGGACCACCGAATATGACGTCAGCATCACAGAGATCTATGAATGAAGGAATGAGCCTAATCCACATTTAAAATAATTTGCGAGAAATTTAGCATATAAACTTTAAAACACAAATGGACAATTTGTAGTTTAAAATTTTTTTTTTCTAAAATTGAATACCTAAATTTGCGTGTAATACCTTTTAATACTTTTTAATGGCTTTAATTTTTGCTTATGTGATTTACTACCTTTTAATACTTTTTAAAACCCCGCGGACAATACTGAATCTCACCTTGAGCTACAGAGCAAAGACAACAGAAAAAAAAAAAAACCCATGCCAAATGCAATTCAATCTGTGGACTTGCAAAGCAGTGGGGGGTCATACTAACTACTGACAGTCTGTGCTAAAGGAAGAAGCAGAGCAGGACTACAAAGGCTCAGAAATGAGACCGTTTATCAGAGGGGAGCCGGGCCTGTGTTTACGACACAGCAGTAACGGTTTAGCATGTGGTTGACACAGTTCAGTAGGGAGCCACTCTCCACGTCTGGGAATCAGACCCGGCGATAAACAGAGTCTACATGCTGGAACAAAGGGCCGACTCCATCGTTTCTTGGCTTGATTCGTGGGGGATGGCAGAGAAGCTAACAGGACTTACCACACTATGCTCTCTGCTAATTGAGACTTAGCATCACGTTAAGCTCATGGAAGTTTTACTTACACGTGTTCTGAGGACAGAAGGAAAAATGATTGGTTCAGAGACATAACCAATCAGATTATAGAGGAGGTGGGCCCAAGCAACTAGAGCAGGCTGGACCAACCAATCAGATATCTTGGTCCTGCCTCCTCTGGTTGCTTGGACCCACCTCCTCTACAATCTGATTGACTGGTTTAGTATAATGACCATTTTTCCTTTGCCCTCAGAACATTTTTGTGCAAGTTAAACTCCCATGAGCTCACACTAAGGCTTAGCTGCTTTACAAAGGTAAATGCTGAGACATTCGACAGCGCTTCACCTCAAAGGGGTCCCAATAGTTCTTGAGGGTTAAAGCGCTACCCTGTCCAGGCGTGTGGAGCACAAGACGGGGGCCGCGTGAAGGAGTACCTCACTGAGTGAGCTCATGCGTAAATAAGGGTTCTTGACATCCCTCCCCATGAGACTGCCCCCCCCCCCCCAGGGCCATACTCACTCAGAACTTCCCAAAAGTGAGAATGACAGTTCGTTCGGAATAAAACATGCACACCAGTCTCTGCCAATGGCAGTGTCTACATCAAAGTATGGTACATATGATTACAAAAATATATTGTATGAAATTACACACATATACATCGTACTCATGTATGGCACACATTTCATACATATATATTTCAGAGCATTGGCAGAAAACAGCACAGAGAAATTAAGGAAAAGCAACAGTGAATTATAAAAAAATGACAGTCCCGTTGGAAGTGGAATGGTGAACTCACTGTTTGTGTGTGTGTGTGTGTATATATATATACACACACACACACACACACACACACACACACAAATCTAAGATATCAAACAGACTGTTCTGATACGATGAGGCAGAACTTAAAAGACCATTTGTGAATAAAATAAGTCTTTATTCAAAATATCAGTGAACAGAAGGAACAGCACAAGCAGCAATACTGAATGACTTAGAAAAAATTGTGTATTGTGTATTGTAGCAAAATAGAGATTCTCGTAAAATTTCAGACTTTATAGAAAACTAGTGTTATGTTCACACGCATGCATCGCCAAAGCTAAGCTAGAAGTTATGCCAGTCAACGTAGACCAATTAGCATTTTAACCCCTCCCTCTTATTCTACTGGTTGACAGCAAAGGTGGGCGGGCTTAACGAGAAAGCGACACCGACTGAAGCTTCAGCAGTCCAGCCCAATAGATGCATTACACAGGAGAGTTTCCTGATGTATGCGTGTGAATTCAGCACGGAGGGCCTCGTGCTGAAAATGAACATGAACGAGGAAAACAAACGAACAGGTTTGGCACAAAATAGTTCGGATGTGCAGGCAAATGGCTGGCCATGAACGATATCATGGAGGGGGTGGGGGGCTGTGATTTAGTTGAGGGTGAAACTGTAGTGGGGTGCGGGGGGGGTTCACGAGAAAAACACAGCCCAGTGTTCTCCGACGGCTGTGGAAAAGGCCGCCTAATTACCTCGGGCTATGTGGGAATGGGTGTGGGGGTGAAAGTGACGGGTGAGCGGGGGGGATTAAGACAGTCCTGGCGTGGGGGGGGTGGGGATACTACCTAGCGGTCAACAGGCCTGCCCCACGGGTGAGGAACAAGCACCTAGCAGCTGCCAATTATCCTCCCCTCTGCGCCTGCTTTGAGCAGAGTCATATCGTGAGCTGACTGAAACCTTTTCCTCTTCCATCTGGAAGGATAAAATACCAGTAAGTCTCCGGAATGAGGAGGGAGGGGGGGGGGGGGGGGGGGGAGAAAAAGAACAGATTTTTGTCTGCATAAGGAGGAATACAGAAAGCTCTCAGCGCCGGAGTACATTTACCATTTCCTTCAACGAGGCATATAGGCCAACCGGCTTGCCAAGACAAGCTCGGCGACTAGTGATCGAAAATGATTTACCAGGGCTTTTAGAAATGAATATGAATCAAACTGTGCTGGGCGTTGGATTAAATGGATTGGAATTGTGACCCGCCCGTCTTAGCAACTCGCACGCTAACGAGAACCAGCACCACGGCTTGCGGGTCTTTGGGACGGCGAAAGCCGGGCGATGGGAGCTGAGGATGCTTTCTGAATGCTTCTTAGTGCTTCGAGTAACGATCGATTTTCGGACGCCGTCAGGCATGCTGGTAACGGTCCGGGACGGCGCCGACACACGCATGCATCTCACGAGCACGACACGGACGGCACTGCGAGACGGCTGGAATGAGTGATGCGGCGGTGAAGAGACGGCAGGCAGGCGGGGCGGGCGGGCGAGCGGGTGGGGGCCGCAGCCGGACGGGACGAGCACGGTCCACGGTGTTAGTCAGAATGCCAGTGACACCGGACGGTGACCGTGTGGGACAGAGAGGGTGGAATGGGAAGGAATTCGGAGCAGCGTGCAGACCAGCATGGGAGGCGGTGAGGCTGCATAGGAGGGTGGACATAGAGATACGTGCCAGAGGAGGGGCAGCATGCTGCGACAGTGGGCAGGGCATTGCTCATGCACTGGCCCTGGGTCCACAGTGTGCCCCCCTCCCCTCTTAAAGGTTAGTCTGCCCTCGACATGCAGGGCCGGCTGCGCGCGTCGCTTTGTCCTACTCTACCTAATTCTGCCCAGCTGGTTCTTGGCTCTGGACAGTGGCTGCAGAGCGATGAAGTCGTCGCCTATAACGACCCTGTTGGTATACATCTACAGAGCAAACGGGGAGGGGGGGTCAGAAGACACACACGAGCTGTCAGTTGGGTGGGGGACACACACACACACACAAACACACACATGCCTGCACACAGACGCACACACACACACACAGACACACAAACACACACGTGCGTGCACACAGACGCACACACACAGACAGACACACAAACACACACGTGCGTGCACACAGACGCACACACACAGACAGACAGACACAAACACACACGTGCGTGCACACAGACGCACA